TATCAACAAAAAAAAAACAAAAAGGTTATCAACAACTATATCAACTTGCGGGAATAAATATTTTTTTTTCTCAAATTGGGAATAATTACTTGTTAAAAAAAAATTAAGAATGTGTAAAAGCTAGTTGAAAACGCTGCTATCTCCAGCGTTTCACTTTTTGGCGTTTTGACAGAAAAAGCTGAAATGATAAGCCAACTAACCAAACAACATGAAAACTTTATTTTAGCGTTTTGAGATTGGTCAAACCCGCTAAAACAGCGGTTTGCCCCAAAACGCCAAAAAACAAACAAGCCCGATCATGTTACACTTATTTGGGGTGTAACTATAGTGTGTGAGGAATCCACTAGAAGGTTCACAAAACCCCTTGATTTGGCCCTTATATTAAGTTTTTAACGCCAATTGCTGATAACTATATGTTGCCAAACTAATGAAAAGGCAAAAATGAGATTATTGTACTTAAAAAGAGATCGCCTTAAAAACGAGAGATCAACAACGAGATTATTGTCGTTTGCCAACTAGGGGCCTTGGAGCTTGACACGTGTTTGCATGCAAGGTGCAACTTTTGATGATGAGACAGGTTTGGGCGGTCACTTTGAAAGTTATCATTCACACTAGGTTGAGAAATCGGTATTTGCTATAAATCAGTGGAACGATTCTATTTGGATTTTATATTGGCTAAGCCCAACAACGACCAAGGCCGCCCAAGTCTAGCCGCAGTCAAATTGTCAGGCACCAATGACCAAGTCCCAGGACCAAGCTTTAGCCCGAGCCGAGGCGGCCGACAGGCAGGCGCGCACGCGTGCATGTAGCCGACGCTTACACCAACACTTGGTGTATAATTTTGTTATTGTTGTGACCTCTCTAACCCTTTTTATTATAATAAGGAGACTAATCTCATTTAAGAGTTCTATTGAGATAAGACTTTTGACTCTTCGAATCCCACAACCATTCACTTTTACGTGTCATGCTAACTTTAATAATTTATTTCCCACTCACTAAAAAACAGTTTTGAAAAAATAAATATACCACGAGAATCTACTCATAATATGGAACTTATTTACACAATTTACTTCAACCCGAATCAAATATTAAATCATAATTTCAATTAAAATTGGTTCCCATCCGACCCAAGAGCGCTTGGATGAGATGGCTTGGGTCTCTTCCAGCTTAACCAGTGGTTTCGTGTTCGAGCCCTGAGAATGCAGCAGTGTTAAAACTCTTGAGGGAGAGCTTTGCCGCCCTTGTGGTCCTACCCGGCTCGATTCCGGATTAGTCGGTTCCCCTGTGAATTCAGAAACCGGAAGGTCCCTATACCAATAAAAAAAAAAAAATATGGTTCCCATCCATCATTCGTACATCACCCATCATCACCCTTAAGCTATACTTTTTTATATTAAAGTTTGTCAATTGTGGGGCTAATATTTTTCCCCCTAAGTTGAGTAACCGTCTCACTCTCCACAACACTTGCCGAGCAACTTCTCGTTTCCTCGAACCTTTCATATTTATTTATTTATATATATAACTCAAAGACTTCACTCTTTCCATTCATATGATCCCATATCAATAATCGTCCCAAATAAATATCCCTTGAAGCCTACTTTAATAGTTTATCATCTATAATAAATTTGGTGATGGCGCTTGAAGCTCTGAAATCACCGGCTACCCCAACGACGTCGTTCCATTACGACTGGACTAAGGGCAAGCGGACCAAGCGCTCCCGCAACCCCAACCCCGACCCCTCCGAGGAGGAGTACCTCGCTCTCTGCCTTGTCATGCTCGCCCGAGGCGGCACCGGCCCCCTTCCACCGCCGGCCAAGCTTCTCTACAAGTGCTCCGTCTGCGACAAGGCCTTCGCGTCCTACCAGGCGTTGGGGGGACACAAGGCCAGCCACCGGAAGCTCGCCGCCGGGGACGACCATCCCGCCGCCTCCGCGACCTCGTCGGCCAGCGGCGGCAGGACCCACGAGTGCTCGGTCTGCCACATGTGCTTCCCGACGGGGCAGGCCCTCGGGGGCCACAAGCGCCGCCACTACGAAGGTGGGAAGGCCGCCTCGTCAGATCAGTGCGCGGGGTCCACCGTCGTCAGCCAGCGTGGTTTCGACCTGAACCTGCCGCCGCCGCCGGAGTCCTGGTCGGGGTTTGGCGTGGAGGACGAAGTAGACAGCCCGCACCCGGCCAAGAAGAAGTCGCGCCACGCGTTGCCACCCAAAATGGAAATTTTCTGAAAAAATTGGGATTTTTTTTTTATTATTATTTTCATTTCGTTTTTGTTTTCATTTTGTTTTTTTTTTTTTGCTTGTAGTTGTATGTAAATAGAAATGGATATTCGTAACGATCATTGTTTATTTCATAGCGTACTAATTAATAAGGTCTTATATTTTGTAAGTGAAATAATAATAAAGCTCGATTTATTACGTCTAAATGAATAATAATTGAATTGAATTGAATTGAATTTACGTGATTGTATATATTTATGCGGGTATATATTTAATGGATAGTTAATATTGTGATTGTGATTGTTGTACAACAATTTGCTAGTTTAATGAATACAATTGGTACCAAAAACATACCAAAATTGCTAGGGTTTTTTTTGCACATAGTCCCTCTCTAGGGTTTTCAGTTCTCCTTTGAGATCTCAGTTCCACTAGTTGGATTGGCTCTGCGATGCAATTTCTCTTGCTATCTCTTGATTAGTAGGGGTGTGTTTTTGCTTTGGTGTTGTCCAGTTTTCAGTCTTTGGCTTCCTTATTAGGTTTCGAGTCGGTGCGTTCCTTCAGGTTTGTTTAGATGGTGTCCGTTTCTCCAGATCTATGCGTAGAGAGATATTTTATCTTATCTGCTTTTGTTTCAAGGTCACTGCTATGTAGTTTGCCAGCTTTCTTTTTCTGCGTGTTATGATTGTAGTTATTTGCTCTGGCATTGGTGTCTTCTATGCTTATTTGTGGGTTGTGTGTTAGGGGTGCATTAGAGTTTCTAGGGAGGGGCTTCCTTGGGATTTTCTGGTCTTTTGGTATGTGCTTCTCTTTGCTTTGACTTGTTTGGTGTTCTGAATAGTATTTGCTTCTGTTTGTTTTAGGGTTTTTGTGTGTGTTTATCTGTTTTGCTGTTTTTGTATGTTTGCTAGGAATTGAGCTATGGATCAAGATTTAGTGGATAAATTGAATAAGTTTAAATTGTCTGTTAAAGAGGAGGGAGGAGTGGATCTGTCTAAGACTGATATAGCTCCTGGTCTTAAAGAATGTCAACTTAGTCTAGTAGGCAAAGTTTGGGGTGTGAAAAAGGCTAATTTTAGTGGGTTGAAAACTACCTTGAGTAACATATGGATTACTAAGAAACCTTTCTCATTTCAAAATTTAGGTGAGAATAAATTTCAATTCTTATTTCAGTGTGAAGAGGATAGGAATAGGATTTTGCAGGGTAAGACCTGGACCTTTGATGGTCAGTACATCCTGTTAAAACAATGGAGTCCCATGTCTCAGGACTTCTCTCCTGAGGAGGAGGTTATTAAGATATGGGTTAATATCTTGAATCTCCCTTTGCATTGGATATCTGAAGATACAGGCCTTAAGATAGGAGAGAAAATTGGGAAGACTCTTACCATTCAAATTCCTAATGAAGGGGGGCAGGTGGGGCAGGTGATAAAAGTTCTGGTTGAACTTCAAGTGAGTGAACCTATCCCTAGAGGGTCTTTCATTAGAGTGGGGTCTGAATCCACTTGGGTGGACTTCAAGTATGAAGCGTTACAGACTTTTTGCTGTTACTGTGGGCTGATTGGCCACTCTGATAGAGTTTGTGTCCCTAAAGCAGAGGATGTTAAGAGAGGGGGTCTTTGTGTTTGTCAATTTGGTGAGTGGCTCAGAGCCAGTTCCATATCCTATAGTCCTGCCAAAAGTCAGAACTCTCAGGGAGTTGGTAGTCATTCCCATGAGAAAGTCAACTCTGATAACCTTGAACAGGTTGGGGGGAGGAGTGAGGGTGGTAATGAGAGTGGTAAGAGTGTGGCACCCAGCCAAGGAGTCAATATAATAGGGGAGAGTCAAAATCTGCAAATTGTGGATTATATAGATCCAAAGCCTGGACCCGTTGAGGGGAGCACTAGCATTGTTTTGGCTGATGCTGGTCTTGAGCATATTCAGGACAATCTACCCCCCATTCCAGAGGGAAATTTGGTGGATGTAGAAGTCCAGACTCCAGCTGTTGGAGTGGAAATTCCTCTCAGGAAAAAGACCATCAAACTCAGGAAAGCTAGACTTAAAGCTGGTGACTCTTCTGAGAGGATGAGTATAGACTTAGTGGGAGGGTCTAGAAGTCAAGGGAATAGAGTGAGGTCTCTCAAAAGAGGATCTGATATGGTGGAGGTGGAGGTGGGTGTTATGGAGGGTGTATGTCAGATAGTTAAGAAACCTAAACTTTCAATGGAAACAAACATGTCTGAGGTGGAGGAAACCAGCCTAACTGGTCCCAAGTTTCCCAATGAAAGTTTCGGTGTGGAATTGTAGAGGTCTAGGGGGGCCCTCTACAATTTCCCAATTCAAGGAATCCTTAAGGATCCACCACCCTGATTTTGCCTTTCTTTCCGAAACCAAAAAAAAACAAAAATTTGTAGAAACTATGTGTAGGAAGCTTAAGCTGTTAGATAGGTGGGTTTATGATAAACCCATTGGGAGTAAGGGAGGGATGTTTCTGGCTTGGTCAGAGAATATCTCTCTGGTCCAAGTTAATAGTTTGGGGTTTTGTCTTGAGATTAGCTTTTATTATAAAGGGTCTACTGATATTTTCTGGGCTGTGTTTGTTTATGCCAGCACTGATGCTGAGATCAGGGCTTGTCAATGGGAGGTGTTGGTTAGTAGGAGTCAAACTTGGGGGAATTATTGGTTTGTCTGTGGGGATTTTAATGACATTTTATGTCATTCTGAGAAGAATGGGGGTCTGAGAAGAGAGGATAGCAGTCTGAATTGTTTTAGAGAGTTTGTGAGAAATATTGGAGCTGTGGAGGGGCCTTGTGTGGGACACCCCTTCACATGGTCTAACTGTAGACAAGGGAGTGCCTTCATTGAGGAGAACTTAGACAGATTCTTATTTTCTCCCTCTTGGCTCCTTCAGTACCCTAGTTCTAAAACGGTGCATATTACTCTTATTGCTTCTGATCATAGTATGCTAATGATGGATACTGATCAGACTGTAGTGATGAGTAAAAAAAGATTTGCCTTTGATGCCAACTGGCTTTCTTTTGATGATTATAAAGATGTGATTAATGAGGCTTGGGATATTCCAGTCTCTGGTCCTCCTCTCTTCAGTATTCAGAAGAGGCTGAAAAATGTGAGAATGCATATTCTCAGTTGGAATAAGAATAAGAATTCTAATGCTAAAAAGATCATTGAGAGATGCAAGGCTAAAATTTCTCTTCTTAGAGAAGATGGAGGAAACAGGGATTGGGGGGAGTGGGTGGCTAGTAAAACTGAACTCCATATGGCTTATAAAGCTGAGGAGATGTTTTGGAAGCAAAAAGCCAGGGCTCATTGGCTTAGGGATGGTGATACTAATTCTAAGTACTTCCATGCTTGTGTGAATCAGAGGAGACATGTTAATAAACTTGATAGAATTCTAAAAACTGATGGTTCTCCTCGTGTGGATAATTTGGAAATTTTGTCTGAACTGAAAGCTTATTTTGAGAATATTTATAGAACTACTAATCCCTTAGATCAGATATGTTCTCTTGATGGAATTAATTGTGCAGTTTCTGATGAGTTAAATGCTGATTTAATCAAGAAAACTGATGAGAAAGAAATCAGGGATGCATTGTTTGATATGGCTCAGGATAAAGCTCCTGGTGTTGATGGTTTTACAGCATTATTTTTCCAACATTCCTGGCCCTCTCTGAAATATCATGTATGTCTTGCTGTTGAGAATTTTTTTGAAAAGGGTCATATGCCCAAGGGTCTGAATCATGCTGTCATCACTCTTATTCCTAAAAAAAAAAATCCTGTTAGAGTGGCAGATTTCAGACCCATTAGACTTTGCTCTGTTGTGTACAAGTTAATTGCCAAGATAATTGCTAACAGATTAAAACCAGTGCTTCCTATTTGTATTTCTAAAACTCAAGTTGCATTTGTGCATGGTAGACAGATCTTAGATAATGTGATTGTAGCAAATGAGTGCATTCATTTCATTAACAGCAAAAGGAAAGGCAAACAACATTATATGGCAGTGAAACTTGACATGGCTAAAGCTTATGATAGGGTAGAATGGTCTTTTCTTGCTAGAATCTGTAGAAAATTTGGGTTCTGTGATACTTTTGTCTCCTGGATTCTGGCCTGTGTTTGTTCAGCTTCCTACTCCTTTAATATTGAAGGGACACCATCTGGTTTTGTTCAACCTACTAGGGGTTTAAGGCAGGGAGATCCTCTATCTCCCTACCTCTTTATTATGGTCTCTGAAGCCTTTTCCAATTTGGTTCATAATGCTTGTGTGTCTGGGCAGTACATAGGTCTGAAATTAGGTCCTCATTCTCCTTGCATATTCCATCTTTTGTTTGCTGATGATTCCATTCTGTTCTGCAAAGCTGATGTGCACCATGCTATCATTATATCTTCCATTCTCTCCATTTATGGGCATGATTCTGGGCAACTAGTAAATTTTGATAAGTCATCCATTTTTTTCTCTAAAAATATGCAAGAGGATTCATGCAGTGAAATCTGCAGGGTGCTTACTGGGATCTCAATAGTGGACTCTGCCAAATACTTAGGGCTACCTCTAGGTATTGGCAGATCAAAGAGGGATACTTTCCAGTATGTTAGTGAATGTGTCAAAAACAGAGTGAAAAATTGGAAGAATCAATTTTTGAGTGAGAGTGGGAAAGAGACACTGATAAAATTTGTTCTTAATGCACTTCCTACTTATATTTTTTTCATGTTTTAAAGTGAATGTTACTATTGTCAAGCAGATTTGCCAAGAGATAGCAAATTTTTGGTGGGGTAGGAGTGAGACTGGGGGGAATAGAATTCATTGGGGGAGATGGGAGGTGTTGGTGAAAGACAAAGAGTGTGGGGGGATGGGTTTTAAAGACCTGTTAGCCTTTAATGATGCCTTGCTAGTGAAACAATTATGGAGGTTTATCACTCAACCTAATCTTCTAGTTAGCAGGGTGTTAAAGGGCAAGTACTTTTGGAAGTCTACTTTGTTTGAGGTTAAACCCAAATCCCATGACTCTTGGCTCTGGAAGAGTTTGCTCTCTGTGAGAAAGTGGCTTGAGTTAGGTGCTAGGTTTAAGGTGGGTGATGGTTTGTCAATCTCTGTTTGGAATTCACCTTGGTTACCAACAACCCCTCCCTTCAAACCCAAATGTAGTAATCCTGGGGTTAGAAGTATAGTGGGTAAAGTGAAAGAGCTTATGAAGGCTGAGGGTAGGGGATGGGATAGGGATATCATTTATCAATTTTTTGATACAGATGTTGCTGATAAAATTGTCAATATTCCTCTTTCTGTTCATGGTGGCCCTGATAAGTTGATTTGGCATTGGCATCCAAAGGGATTGTTTTCAGTGAGAGAGGTGTATAAAGCTATCTGTAGGTACAAATGTCAGAGTCAAAGTCAGACAAGTACAAGTACTGACCCAAGGCTGGTGACTAAAATGTGGAGGACTACCTGGAATCTCAAGATTAAGGCCAAGGTCAAATGCTTTTTGTGGAGGTGCTGGATGGAGTATATCAGTACTAAAGCCCAATTGAGAAGAAGAGGTATGGAGGTGGATGAAATATGTGCTAATTGTGGAGAGGGAGTGGAAGACTTGAACCATATTCTGTTCAATTGTCCAAAACTAGGATTTGTTGGAAGATGAGTGGGTTACAATGGACTTCTTTCAATTCTGAGCATGTGAATTTCCAAACTTGGTGGCTGCAAATATGTGCTGCCAGTAATTTGAAGCTGAGGGATGCTAGAATTGGGAAATCTGCTTTTTTATTGTGGCATTTGTGGAAGGCCAGATGCAAATGGCTATACAAAGGGGATTGGATCCATGAGAAGAACATTATTGTTGAGGCTAGTGCAGAATGGCAGGAATGGGTTGGTCAAGACAAATCATCTTCTCAATTACTCTCTCAACCGGATATTAGTGTCATGGAAGTAGGTCAGTCTTTCATGACTCAGTGCTTCTTTGTCTGGTGGGGGGGTTGTTTCTGTTTAGTGTGTCCTGGAGAAGGCTGATTCTGAGTCTGTTCGATGGCATGGAACAATGACAGGGGCTGCAAATATGACTGAGGCCTGGTGGCTAGCTATTAAATGGAGCCTGGTACAAGCTAAAGATCACAATTTCAGGGAGTTTATCCTGCTACTGGAGTCCAGAGAGCTAGTTGAAGGCATTAATAAGATTTCTGTGCTATTGGGGGACTTGTGTTCTGTTATTATGGAAATTAGGGATATCCTACGGGATTGTAATGTGACTGTTGACACCTTATTTTAAGTGTTTGTTGTTTTTAGGCTTGATGCCTTGTTAGGGATAGGTCTGTCTATCTCGTGCTTCTTGTGTGTCTCCTCAGGGACTGGTAGCTGTGGTCATTTGATCACCGTGTAGACTTGTTTATGAGTTTTTAATCTAATTCAGTTTATCGTTGGAAAAAAAAAATTAATGAATACAATTGGTGCCTTATTAGTGGATAAGCTAGCATATGGAGGTAAGTCGCTTATAGCATCTCCAATGATATGTTGTCTACTTTGGGTTGCATGAGTACATGAATAAGGAGATTAAAAAATTGTGTTTCCAATTGTTAAGGTTAAAGATGGTTTAATCTGATATGTGTAAATTTATAATTGGGTGGAAAAAAGAAAAAAAAAATTGAATAAATAATAATGTATAATTGAAGTTGTCTAGAAATCTAGAAAGACTTCTGAATTTTTTTTAGGTCACATAGGATTTTTTGTGTCATGTGATAACAAAATGGGACAATCCAAAACTCATTGGAGATGCTCTTAGGCTGAGGGCTAGTGATGTAATGTGAGCCTGGCTGGCTATTTCTAAAAAGCTTATGAGTAAGAAAACTTGGTCTTGTATCATTATGACTCCATTATTTCTTTATAAGCGAAAGACTTTGAAACTTTCTAAAGCTATTTTAAGGTGGATGGAAAATTAATTTTAAGTTGTATATGTGAAAAATGTAAGTTTAGAGCAATTTTTTTGAAGTAACTCCTATATTTTTGAATTTGCAAGTATTCTGCCTTTGACGAATATTAAGATAAGCCAAATGAAATCTAATCATTCAGTTATTGCATGCTAGAAATCTAGAGGGTTTGTTAAAGACATGTAAGAAAAAGCTAAACTCGATTTCAAGTCCGGATGAACTCGTACGAGCCTGTGGTGAACGAGCGTGCAGCTGGCCATGGCCAGCGAAGTATCGCGACCCCTGGTGATCATAAGGTCTCTTTTGGCCTATAGATGCGTCTGTTCTCGTTCGGGCATGTTTTTTGACACTTAAACTCACTGGAGGTGTTTTCCAGCTTCTTTAAATACTCATATACATGAAATCATTCATAACTTAAAAATTAAGAGATCTTGCATTAAATTTTCAAAGTCCATGAAGCATATATATTGTGTTCTTTGATTGTTTTTTTGTTTTCCTTAAGTCTTGAGATAAGTTTCAAAATATAGTATTGTTTGTCTAAGTCTTGTATATTTGAATTATCGCTATATATAAATCAAAAATTGTTGTATCTTGAATGCGTTTGTTGTTAACTGTGATATTTAATTATGTGACGAAGTAACTATTATGTATCGCGACTTTGACTTGGCTTTATTTTTTTCGTTTTCTTTAAAGCCATTTTTATTAATTTAGGGTCTCTTACGCGTTTGAGCAGAAGCTAACTTAATTAGGATGAAACACACGTGTTCATCTCAGTCCACTTTAGCCCTTTTTCTCGATTTACAGGCGTCAAGTAAACGTGCATGGTTACTCTATTGAGTTTCAATTTTTTTTTTTTTTTAACTTAAAAATTATATAAATATATCAAAATTTATTACTATTGAAAATAACAGTTTTGCTCGGCTTATGGAGTTATATACAGTTATTCACAAATAGCATATTGACACGTGTCCTACAATAAATACACTTTGGACATGTGTCAATACATTAAGTGATCGATGACATTATAAAAAAAATCATCCGATGTCTCTATAGATTTTTTGTTGAAAATAATTTCTACCATCGGTTCACATTAAAGTCTACACACTCACACACACATTCGAATCTTGACATTTAATGACTCGTCTAAATAAAATAATGTAGTATCTTATTTGGTGTAAAATGGGTATTTAAGTAGCAACATTTATGGGCCAAAGCCAAATTAAAGGTCTGCAGTCGGGTGTCAAATGATGGGATTACAATCACATGTAACAGATTTACAATAAGCTATGAGATCCAAATTCTTGGAATTTGATAATATCCTGTCTTCAATCCCTCCCTCCAAATGCTTATTTTGTTTAATAGTATATGGATTATCTTCTAGTTGTTTGTACCCCATAATATATTTTTTTTTAATAATTGTTATGAATTAATGCCCATATAAGTCATAATACATGGAGATTCTACGGTCTCGTTACGGAATTATTTCGTCAGGATTTGTAACTGTTAGATCAACTATCCGCGACGATTACAAATCTCTACGGAATAGTTCTGTAACGAGACTGTAGCATTTCCCCACAAAATAATATTCAGCGTTAAAAAAAAGGGTTTTAAAGCAAAGGATTTTGTTTTGCTTGCAGAA